ATGAATGACTAATGCAGCCGGTACGCTGAGGGCAGGAGAGTGGGTGGGGGTGGAGTTCTGGACTGGCTGCTTCCATTCAGGGGTCCCCACACTTGCCTACATCCTTAATGATAATACATTCTGGTTTCGCCTAAGCTGGCTTGGGTTTGTCTCTGTCACTTTGCATCCAAGGACTCTCCTAAGTAAGTTCCATGGTGGCAAGGACCCGGTCTTATTCTCCAGTACATGCCGGGACCTGGCACATAAAATGTGCTCAGTACGTATTTGTTGAATGAATAAAAAGCAGAGGTTCAGAGAAGTTAACTGATTAGGACCCAAGTCACACAGGAAGTAACAGCTGGGATGAGAACTGGGTCTTCCAGCCTCACAGCATGTGCTTTTTCTGCTAGACCACTGCCTTTTACCGATTGTTATTCTTCTAGTAAAATCACAGGCAGTCAGAGCTGGAATGGATCTGCGAGGTTAATAAGTCTGACTTTGTTTCACAGATAGGAAATCGTGAGAGAACCCAGAGTATAAGTTTTGTGGCATATCAAAACACCAACTTTTTAAAAAGATTTTATTTATTTATTTGAGAGAGGCCATGAGCACGAGTGCGCATGAGTTGGGGGAGGGAGCCAGAGGAAGAGGGAGAAGCAGACACCCCGCTGAGCAGGGAGCCCGATGCCGGACTCCTGGGCTCGATCCCAGGACCCTGAGATCATGATCTGAGCTGAAAGCAGTTGCTTAACTGACTGAGCCACCCAGGCACCCCAAAACATCAACTTTTATTTTATGGATTGGTGATGTTATTTCGATTTATTTATCTTGGAGGTAGGCGGCTTATCTGGGAGGTAGGCAGCATCATGTGCCTCAGGGCTTGGGGCCATCTAAGGATCTGAATCTGGTCAAGCTGGCAGGCCACTGGGAGCAAATGCTATGACCTCAGATACAGGGTGTGTGCTTGAGTTGGGTTGAAGTTCTAGGAGTAGAAGTGAGGAATCTAAGATGTATTTAGGACTTCCGCATGCCAGACCCCATCCCAGCTACTTTGTTGTGTGGCATCTCATCACACCGCAAACCAGACTAAACCATTTTAGGTTGTGTTTTTCTATTTTTCAGATGGAGAAAGCTGAGATTCAGTATTGCTAAGTAATTTTCACAAGATTACCTCACTAATAATTACCAGAGCTGGGATTTGCACCTGGATCTGGCCTTGGGTAAATATCTGTTGAATGAATGATCTTTTGGCTCCAAAGTCCATGCCCTTTCTACTACAATTGAGAGAAAATGATGGGGAAGTCCCTTCCCCACCCCCAAAAATAATAGCTGACACTTATATAGCACTTGCTATGTACTAGGCACTGTTCCAAGCACATCCATCTATCTATCTATCTATCTATCTATCTATCTATCTATCTATCTATCATCTAGATCTAAATCTCATTTGGTAGACAAGGAAACCAAGGCACAGAGGTTAAGTCGCTTGCTGGGTACATGGTAAAGCTAGCATTTAATCTGGCCATCTGGCTCCCACGTCCCTGCTCTGAACCTCCCTGAACTCTCCCGCCTGCTTCCCTCAGCTCTACCAACACAGTGTTTTGCTCTTTTATTTTGACTAGTTTGAGAAGCGTGTGCTGATACCTTAAAGCTGGTTTGTTTGCATTTTTCTCATTTCTGGTGGAGTTATGTACTTTTTCACATTTTGATCTACCATCTGTACTTCCTGTATAAACTGTCTGTTCATCTCTTTTGCTGCTTTCTGAGTGGAATCTGGGCACTGATTTTAGCTTTTTGTGAAAAAGCAAAATTTAATATATTTTCGATGTATCAGTGGTTTATTTTTTTCCAGGCTGTTATTTTCCTCTTGTGATTATCCTGTGTTTTATTCAACAAAAATCTCCTATTCTTTAACTTGAAAATCTTTTCAGTTTCTGGTAATGGATTCTTTTCCAATGTGATAACCATGGAATTCTAGATTCTTGAGGTTGTTTAATGGTTTTTCAGAGATGCACAAAATCTCATCTGCCATTTATTACAGAAAACAGTATACGGTGTAACTCTTCTCTGTATTCATTATGATTCTCTCCCAAATATTTATTATATAGTAATTCCTTTCTTCATTGTTGGATTACTTGAAGTTTTACTACTTATTGGATTGATTTTGGATCATTTCATTGCTTCCACTAATTTTCCCCCATTGTTGCCATATGGTTTGGATAATTGTCACTTTGTAATATGTTAGGAAATCTGGTAGGGTAAATTTACTATCATACCCTTTAAAAGGGAAGCTGTAGTCTTTTTAACTATTAAATCTGGTAACTGAACATCACTATTCATTTATCAAGTTCTTATTATGTATCCCTTGGGATCCTTAATAGGTGGTGCATTAAAGCTATATAGAATTCAAGGAGAAATGTTGGCTTTGCTGTTTATGATCCTCTCGCCTGGAGTGGACGGGCTGTCCATTTATTTTTGCCTTCCTTTATTTCTCTCAACAGGGTTCTAGAACCTTCTTTGAAGAACACTTATGGCTTGAAGGAAACTTGTGTTCAGGTATTGAGTGTTGGATGTTAAATGAAGCTAACACTCTTTCCTGTGCATTTTCTATCTATGCAGCACTGGCCCATGGGCCAGAATGGGCACTCTTGGTGCATGAGATGGTTTCACGACTTGGAAACTGGGGCCTCGGGTTGGAATGTAGCAGCTGGATGGCTGCAGGCAGTGGAAGGAAGGTTCCCTGGGGGACGGAGCCGTGGGTGGGCACACCCTTGGGGCCCATGGGAGTCCTGCAAGAGGGAGGCACCCACTGGGGAGTGAGACCACATGACTGTCACAGAGGGCCTGTGCAGGGGGTGGGGTGGAGTGCCAGAGAACTGCTTGATCCTGGCCTTGAAGTTAGACTCTTGATGTTAGCTCCAGATGAGATGATTTACACAATCAGCGGGTCCTTCTGAGAGCCCGTGGGCTACAGGGATGACATCTTCCGAATCTCTCTTACGCTCTTACCCCAAATGCCCTGCAGTATCTCAAAGTTCGTTTCAGGAGGAGGACGGAGTCTAACTGCTCTTTAGTGCCTGCAATACATACCAAATCCTGTGCTTGAACTTCTGTTCTTGCTCTCTTGTGTAGTATCCACTGTAGCCTAATGAGGGAAGGGCCATTACACCAGTTTTGAGAGGAGGAAGCTAAGGCTGCAAGAGGTTAAGGGCAAAGCCCAAAGGCACACAGCTACTAACTTGTAGACCCTGCAGTTGAGCTCAGTGTTGCCTTCAAAATCCATATTCCTTCCATCCACCATCCTGTTTTTTACATCGTGTAGGGGCTCAGTGAGTGGCTGCATCACTTGGGAAGGAGTGAAACACGGGCGAATCCCGAGTCTTGGCCAGGTCATTCATGCATGTGCCCATTCGTCCCCTCGCACACCCCGTAAGCATTTGTCATGTGTCAGTTGTGCAGGCCACTTCTCCCAGGTGAAGTCATCCACTCCCCAGCTTCCCCCAGCAATGACTCTCCCATCTGTCCTTCCTACCCAGACTTCTTCCCCGCACTTCACGCTTGCACAGCCACCTTGCTGTGGGTGCATGTACAGGCTGTCTCGTGTTCACACGTCAGGAGGAACTGCCCATTTCTCCTTCATCTCCCACACCTGTTGTGTTCCTTCTCAGTGAGCAAGGCCACCATGCATCCTCCCTCTTGTTCATTCCGTATTTCCAATTTTTCACGAAGCCTTACTGATTTTCTCCCCAAATATGGTTCAATGTGTGTCTTCCTCTCTGCCTCAGCAACCACCCCGTTGGGCTGAATCCTGCCCAATTGGTGTGAGTCTGCCCCTTGGCTACCTTCCCCGCAGCTTGACCTGATTTGGCATCCCTTGTGTTTCCGGTGGACCTTTCTGAGCTGTGACTGGACACCTTCCAAAGCTGAGAAATACAAATCCAAATTGGACTTCTGGGACACCTGGGTGGCTCAGTCGTTAAGCGTCTGCCTTCAGCTCAGGTCAGGATCCCAGGGTCCTGGGATCAAGCCCCGCATCGGACTCCCTGCTCGGCTGGGAGCCTGCTTCTCCCTCTGCCTGCCGCTCCCCCTGCTTGTGCTCTCTCTCTCTGGCAAATAAATAAATAAAATCTTTAAAAAAAAAAAACAACCAACAAATTGGACTTTTGTGCAGCCATGTCAATCCCTTCCAAGGGGGAACTGGCCTGCTATTGCCACCTGCTCAAAGGGCAACCGTGTTTTGGGCCCCAGCCCCTCATTGAACCAGGGGTGACCATCTGGCTGGCTGGCTGGCTGGCTGGCCAGCAACGTGTCAGATGGCGTAGGGTAAAAGAGGCACGTTGGGTCAAGCAGATTCCCTTGAGAGAATGTGAGCAAAGAAATAGTAAGAGCATGGAGAAGTCAGCAGTGGAAACAGACTAAAAAGTCATGAAACAGAGCTGGTTCTGGAGAAACCACTCTTCGGCTCTTGGGCAATGCAGAGTGTGCATGAGAAGAGGAAGAGTGTCAGCACAGAGAGGAGGATGGAGTAACGCCCATGAGCCGTGAAAAGGAAGCTGTATCTCAGAAATGGGATTCCTGACATGGAATACTTTTAGCTTTAGGGAAAACTCCCCACATAGTCCTTATTTTCTTGTTTTGCTACAGATCAGCAAAGATCACAGTGGGATGTTGGAGGTCCCCCAGTCTGGCTCACATCAAACAAACCCTCTTTCAGACCGGGGCTGGGGGGTGTGTGTGTGTGTGCAGGGCTCGAGAGAGAGAGGCGGCGGAAGTATTGCAGAACTAGAGAAATAGCCTCAGATCTTCCCTCTGGGGAATCCAGACAATAGCAGCAGCTGCCTCCTTTCAACTGCGATCTCCCCGCGCGTGGCGAGGCACGGAAGCTCCATTTCAATATTTAGACTTCAGTGCTGTGGAAGTCCATGGTGTTTGTTATGCCGGTGGCTGGTGTTTGGAGAAGCACATTGTCTCAAAGGCTGAGATGCCTGGTGCTCACAGGTTGGCCCATTGTCTCTTGAAGCCCCGCCAGTCTGAGATCACAGGCCTGTTCCTGCAGGCACTCTTTCTGATAAGGCCCCAGGAGGTTGAGGTTGACCTAATTCCCTGCCGGAAGCTGGTTCCCTGACTCTGGGGGTCAGGTGCCAGGGCCGGCCCCGAGACTGTTGGTGTCTAAAGAAGGGGTTCACAAGCATGGGCTCCAGAATCAGACCCCGGGGATTTGTAAACTGGCTCCATCCCTTACCAGCTATGTGAATTTGGGTAAGTCAGTATCTCTATGACTCAGTCTCCTTATCTGTAAAATGGGGATAGGAACAGTATCTACTTCATTGAGTTTTATCATGATTAAAGAAATGTAGTAGGCTGATCTATATGAAATTGTCACTCTGGTTGTCTTAAACTGGCTTATCCCAATATAATTGTGACTAAGGCATAACTGCTTAATAAATGTTAGCTAAAAGTATAAGAAAGTATATGAACATTTATGATTATTTCAGCCCTTCTTGGACAGCGAGGAGCAACCGTTTTTGACCAGGCCTTGCCCAGACCAGTACAGAGAAGCAGGTGGCGCTGAGGCCCACTTTTGGGCTGTAGGCACCAGGAGACTGTGGGTTTTCCTCTAGTAATAGGTCCGGCTCTGCACTACTTGGCTGTGTTTCTTCCCCTCTGAGCTTCTTCCTCTGACAAAAGTCATGACATCGGATGAACTCATAAAACCCCTTCTAGCTCTGATTATCTGATTCTGAGTGTTCTCAGAGCATAGCAGCCTCCCTCCCCCTTCCAATTCTGAGCCCTTTGTCCCTGACACTTGTTTGCCACTTGCAAATTAACAGCTGTAGGACCTAGTCTCCCATTTGCCCCTGGGTCACTGTTATGTCTAGATAGCCTGTGGCAGCCTCTGTAGCCTGTGACAACATATCAAGGCCATGGTTCCTTTTGTTGCCCAAAGTACCACATAGGCCACCTCCAGCTTCACTATAAGAAACACGGGCTTTTTCACTTCACCTTCCCAAATGATAACAGTGACTGTCCCTTCTTTACCACAGTCTGTATATCAGGCGTTGTTCTAGGTGCTCATAGGTATTAAGCCATTTAAACCCTCACAACAGCTCCATAACGCATGTACTGTGATCCCCGTCCTACTGCCGAGGAAACTGAGGGACGAAGTATCTCGCCCAAGGTCACGTTGCCAGCAAGTGGCAGAACTGGGATTTAGACCAGCGTGCGTGTTCTCAGCCACAAACTCTTCTCTCATGGTAGTCCCTAGAAATTTTTTACCTGTTCCACACACCCCTTTTGCTCTCACTTGCCACCTGATCCAACAATCTGGCTCCAGAACCTTGTCCCACTTGGTGACTCATTTCTAGCCGGTCACACCCTTAAAATCTTGAGAGGTACAGTGTGCAGCAGGCTGGTACTTACAGGCGCCACCCTTGATCCTTCTGAAGTGTTGACAAAGGATGTCACAGTCATACCCTCCTCTGACTTCAACTTTAGACCATGATTTCCTGAGAGATAGCTGCATTTGATCTTCAGTCAGAAGCCATTTCATAATTTTAGCATTGTTTGCTATCTGAAGAGCTGGAAATCTTCACAAACCCCAAGGCCTCGCTCCTTTTTTTTTTTTTAAGAAAGTTTTTCTTCAGCTTATGTCTCTCCTCTAGCATTTTAACTATAAGCAGCGGGGAACCAGGCAAAACCTTCCAGAGTGTGGGTGGAAGCCGCCTCAGCCCAATTACCCAGTTCATTTGCATATAACTGCAGGTGCAGTGTTGCTAAACTTTCTCCAACTACAAATCAAGAATCCCCCTTCCTCCAATTTCCAAGAACATGCTCCTCACTTGCCCGTAAGCCCTCACAAATAGCCTTCTCAAGGTCCTCCCATCTCCATCCAGCTCATCGCTCAATTCCAAAAACACTCACAAATTTTGAGTTTTTGTTTGATGGCCTTGGCCCACTTCCAGACACTGAAACCATTATCAGTTATCTACTGCTTTGCAACAAGTTACCACAAAACTGATCCACCTAAACAAAAGCCACTTATTATCTCATGTGATTTCTGAAGTTCAGGAGTCTGGAGTGGCTTAGTTAGGTGGTTCTAGCTCAGGATCTTCCATGAGGTTGTGGTCTATTTGTTGTCTAGGGCTGCAGTCATGAAGATTCGTGGTCATGAAGATGGGGAATTCACTCCTAATATGGTGTCTTTCATATGGCTGTTGGCTAAAGGTTCAATTCCTCACTGGCTCTTGTCAGTAGGCCACAGTTCCTCGGCACATGGGTCTTTCCACAGGGCTGCTTGGTATGCTATCTGGCTTCACCCAAGACAAGTGATTCTAAAGAGAGAAACCAAGATGGAAGCCACAGTGGCTTTTTATTGTCTAGTCTCTGAATTCACACACTACCACTTCCTCATTATTTTATTGGTCATACAGACCAATCCAGATACACAAAGACTAGCAAGGACATGGACACCAGTTAAGTGAGGATCAGAGGAGCCTTCTTGGAGACTGGCTACCAATGGTTTTATAATGCTAAAACATTGAATGTGTTCCCCTAAGACCTAGAATAGGACATGGATGTGTATGCTAACTACTTCTATTCAACATCATAGTGGAGTTTCTAGCCAATACGACAAAGCAAGAAAAAGAAATAAAATGCATTCATATTGGAAGGGAAGAATTGAAATTGTTCATTTGCAGATGACACAGTCATCTGGGCAGAAAATTATAAGGAATCTACAAAAAAGCTACTAGAACAAATAAGTGAATTTAGGAAATTCACAGAATACAAGGTTAATATTTTTGATAATCACTTAAACTTTCATAATTACCAATGAGTGATTGGGAATTAAAATTTTTTAAAAACCCAAAAATATGGTTTAATGAAAAGAGAAGCACATTTATCTGCAGCTGAGTAGTTTTGTCAGCCTGCTTCCTGCCAGGAGAATTTGAGGAGTCCAAATGGCCTCTTTTCATTTTGTACTATCTCTGTCCCTTTCAGCTTAAACTGGCAGTATTTCTGCTGATATAATTCTTTTAAAACTTTGTGTGTCATCAAAAATAAGAAATCCTTAGGGATACATTTGACAAAGATGTGCAACACTTATAAACTGAAAACTAGATAGCATTGCTGATAGAAATTCAAGGTGACTTAAATAAATGGAGATTATTTTTGTGGATCAGAAGACTCAGTATTATTAAGGTGTCAGTTCTCCCAAAGTTGATCTATAGACACAATGCTATTCCGGACAAACCATAGCTGTATTCTTTTTTGTAGGAAATGGCAAGCCAACTCTAAAGAAGACCTATAATAGCCCAAACAATTTTGAAGAAAAAAGATGTTGAAATTATACCCATCAATTTCCAAATCTATAAAGTGACAGTAGTCAACACAGTTTGGTATTGGTGTCAAGAACAAAGAGTCCAGGAATAGACTCACATATATAGGTCATTTGATTTTTTCAAACAATCTTATTGAGGTATAATTCATTTGTCATATAACTCACCATTTAAAGTGTGCAACTCATTGTTCTTTAGTATAGTCATAGATGTGTAAACATCACCACAGTCTAATTATAGAATAGGCTCATCCCCCTCCCCCACAGAAATCCCATACCTATTAGCTGTCACTCCCCATTCTCCTCCACCACCACGCAATGCCCAGCCCTAAGCAACCACAAATTTACCTTCTGTTCCTATAGATTTGCTTATTCTGGACACTGGATATAAATGGAATCATACAATATATGGTCTTTTGTGACTGAATTCTTTCACTTAACATAACGTTGTCAAGGGTCATCCATATTGGAGCATGTATCAATACTTCCTTTTTATTGCCAAATCATGCTTTATCACAAGGATACACCACATTTCATTTATCTTTCTATCACTAATAGACATTTGGGTTATTGACACTTTGGGGAATAATGCTGCTGGGATCATTCACGTACAAATCCGTATGGGGATATATGCCTTCATTTCTCTCTGGTATATACCTGAGAAGGGAGTTGCTGGGTCATAGGGTAACTCTGTGTCTAACCTTCTGAGGAACTGCCGGATGGTTTAACAGAGCAGCTGCGCCATGGTGCATCCCCACCAGCAGTTCAGGGGAGTTCTGCCTTCTCTGCTTTGTTATTGTCCATCTCTTTTACTGCAGCCATCCTAGTCGGTGTGCATGTTTGTCATATATATATACATATATATTCTCTCACCACACAAACAAATGTAACTATGTGGGGAGATCTATATGTGTGTATGTGTATATGTATATATATGCATATATATGTACGTGCGTATGTATGTATATATATATATATATATATATAAAACACACATACACAATGGAATATTATTCAGCCTTTAAAAAAAAAAGGAAATCCTGTTATTTGTGACAATGTGGATGAACCTGGAGGACATTATGCTATATGAAAAAGCCAAGCACAGAAAGACAAGTACTGCACAGTCTCATTTATGTGTGAAATCTAACAAAGTGAAATATGCAGAAGCAGAGGGTGGAAGGGTAGAAGTCTGGTTGCCATGGGCAGGGAGGAGGGAAAATGGGGAGATGTTGATCAAGGCACACAAAGTAGCAGTTAGATAGAATGAATAAGTCCAGAGATCTAATGTAGAGCATGGTGACTCTAGTCAACCATACTGTATTAAATACTGGAATACTGCATCGCTAAGAGTAGATTTTAGGTCTCTCACCACGCTTAAAAAAGGTAACTATGTAAAGAGATGATCTATGAACTATCTTGACTATAGTAATCATTCTGTGTGCTTATGTGTGTGTATGTATGTACATATAGAGTCACAAACATATACATATGAGAACATCATGATGTATGCATTCACTGTAAACAATCATTATTTAAAAATAAAATAATTTTAGGGGCACCTGGGTGGTGTCCAACTTTTGGTTTCAGCTCAAGTCACGATCTTGGGTCGTGAGATCAAGCCCGTGTGGGGCTCCATGTTCAGCATAGAGTCTGCTTAAGACTCTCTCTCCCTCTCCCTCTGCTCCTCCCCCCAGCATTCGCTGTCTCTCTTTCTCTCTCAAATAAACAAATAAATCTTTCAAAAAATAATAAATAAAAAATTTTTAAATAATTTAAAAAATAGATAAAACTGGTTCACAGTGAAGTGTTTAACATACACCTACCATATAGTCCAGCTATGCCATTCCTAGGTGCTCACCCAAAGGAAATAAAAACATGTCCACAAAAAGACATGTACATGAATGTTCAGAAAATATTATACACATGAGTCTAATTATCATGAAGTCTATTTCACAAGTAGTTAATGAGGTCCTTCCAAAGTAACATTATTTATTAGGCATTGGTGCTCCGATGGATCCTTAGCTTAACATGGCGATTTTCTCCAACCTATGATTGCTAGCTGAAACTCACAGAATACATTAAAGTATAATGTGAGCAAAACCAATATAACTACACTAAGAGAAATCAAAATGAAATGGAAAATTCAATCATGATCCACTTTTTCTTGACAAATCAACTCATGTATTTTTCCTTCTTCCCATCTGGTACTTGTCTGCATGCATAAAACATTTCTCATAGTTGTAAAACTCCAGTTTTGCATTTGGCTTTTGAAAAACAATTGTAATACTATAAACTATTTTCCATGTTGCTACTTAGTCTTCACAATGACTTTTAAATGACCGTGTTGTTTACTTTGTGGGTCTACCACTCTTTAATATGTCCCCTATTGCTGGACATCTATAGGTTTTAAAAAAAATATCCTACTAGAAAAAGTGTAGTTAATATCTTCATGTATAAAACATTTTCTTTCTTTCTTTCTTTTTTTTTTTTTGGATTACTTCCTTGGGATAAATTCCTAGAAGTGGGATTATTGGATCAAAACATATGAACACTTCCATAGCTCTCAAAATATACTGCTAAATGGATTTCCATTCATTCATTCAGCAAATATTTATTGAGCACTTTCTTCTTGCCAGACATTGATTAAGTATTAGGATTACAATGGTGAGGAAGAATATACAGTCTGCATTCATAAGCCCTACTCCTAGCTGGGGAGTCAGACTCAATCAGGTCATCACACAGATGGATAAAATTATAGCCATGCTAAGCATTACTAAGGAGACAGGCATGGGGCTGTAAAAGTATTTCATGGTGGAACCCTACTTTGGCTGGTGGTTAATGGAAGGATTTCCTAAGGAAAAAGTGATTGAGCTAAGGACTTAGGGATGACTAGGAGCTAATTAAACCAAAGGGGAGGAAAGAATAGCATTCTGGACAGAGGGAACGGCACGTACGAATGGGTTTTGGCTGAGTTAAGAAGACCACAATAGCTGGAGCTCAACAAGCTGGTGGCGCCAGGGGCAAGACCCAGGCAGGGCCTGTGGGCCCTGCAAAGGCGTTGGTCTTTATTCCGAGAGCAGTGGGACCATCTTGAACTGGATGTGTGCTTCGAAATACTCACTCTGGCTGCAGTCCATGACGGGAGGGAGTTTGAGCAGGGAGATGGGGTACCAACGGGCAGCTGTTGCAGTGGTTGAGACGGAAGATGGTAGTTGCTTAGATGAAGAGAGTGGGAATAGAAATGGAGAGAAGTGGGCACAAGTAGGAAATATTGAGGAGGTAAAATTGACAAGACTTAGTCGTAGATCTGACTTGAGATGTGTGGGGGAAGAGGAAGGAGAAGGAAATAAGAGCAACAACAGCTAGATTTCTGGTGTGAGGAGCAGGAAGAATGTGGTGCCGATCACAGACACGGGGGACGATGGAAGTGGACCAGAACTGGGGTAGGGTGCTGTACACAAGGAGTTCAGGGTGTCTGTGAGATTGGCAAGAGGGGCTATCAATTGGCGGTGGGACCGCGGGTCTGAAAACCAGACCAGAGTTTGGGTCAGAGCCATGAACTTATGAATTGGCCGTGTATGGATAGGGACGAAAGCCACAGGGGTGGACGAGCTTGCCAAAGGAGAAAGATTGAGGGTGAATGTGGTCTAGATCAAGTGAGTGAGGAACTCCCACTTTCATGGCCAGGTGGACCGGCCAAGAAGCCTGAAGGAGATATGGGAGGGAAACCAGGAGGACATGATGTCACAGAAGCCAAGGGAAGAACATTACAGGAAGGAGAGAGGGGTCACCAGTGTCAAGTGCTGCCAGGAAGTCCCAGAAAATGGGTTCAGACCAATGGTGGACCTTGGCAAGACCTTTAGTGATGGCGACAAGCAGAAGGGAGAAATGGCTAGGACATAAAGACAGGGGGATGGCATGTCTATACAACCCCTTCCAGAAGGGTGGCTGAGACAGGGGTGTAGGAGGACAGCCGGAAGAAGTGGAGTGAGAGCTTGAGGGAGGGCTTTCAGTTTTGTATTTCTTTCCAGAAAGGAGGACTTGTGTGTATGTTGAATGCCAATGGGAAAACTCAGGTTGAGAGCAAGTGGGTAAATGTCAAGAGAGAACTGACCATTGATAACCCAGTCCCTGAGTAGGTGGGAGGGGATAAGGTCCGAAACACTGGTGGAGGGATTGGCTTTGGGTAGGAGAAGGAACACCTCCTTTCTTGTAACAGGGCTGTACCCATTTATACAACCTCCAAGGAGGACTTAGAAGAGCCCAGCATTTGATTAGTGCTCTGCTGCTGTGGTCCTGAAATTATGAATAATTTTTGAACAAGAGACCCCACATTTTCAGTTTATACCAGGCCTGCAGATCATATGGCTGGTCCTGCTTCCAACAATATCAGAGCTATTACTTTTCCCCAGACCTCACTGGAATGGAATATAATCATCTAAACCTTTTTGTTATGGCTGCTAATTTAATAGGTGGAAATGTGCACCTCAGTTGTTTTAATTTGCATTTCTTTGACTACTGGCCAGGTTGACTGTTTCCTCATGCCTGTTTACTAACCAAATTCCTTTTTTGTGTTAACCGGCCTGTGTCCTTTGCCCATTTATGGTGTTTTCAAATGCCATAAAACAGTTTCCTATGTGGGAATGAAGCACGAATTGATTGCAATGTATGGAGAAAGAGTTTGCAATAGAAACAATATGGGGATCCAAGAAGGCAGGCCCAGGCCAGGGGTGCCTTGGGAAGCAAAGATCCTCCCTGTCAATGCAGTCCCACTGGTACATGTGCATGGTACAACGTATACAACGGTACGTGTGCATGGCGCAACGTATACGACGGTACGTGTGCATGGCGCAACGTATACGATGGTACGTGTGCATGGCGCAACGTATACGACGGTATGTGTGCATGGCGCAACGTACACAACGGTACAACCAAGTATCTTCACATCCAGGCATTCCTTCAGTCCCCTGCCTGAATTTGGGAACTCACCACGCTGTGCTTTCCCTGGGTTGTTCCTCCTGCCTGGAGTGCCCTTTTCCCCTTGACTTCCCCATCACTAGACTCACGGCATTCTCTTCATGTTGCTATTCAAACATATCTATGTCACATTTTACTGTAATTATTTGTCTTCTCTCTGTTTCCCCTTCTGGGCCATGAGCTACAGATGATCTTTCCTCCCCACAATGCCTCACATGGTATCTGCACACACCAGGTGCTCAGCTTCTGTGGGTAAGTGAATGAAATCAACTGATGAGTGGTTTGTATTCAAAGCTCTCTGGACCGATTGCTTCTCCTTCCCATTTCTTTTACCCTTGACCACATCTGAGCAGCATGTCCCATCTGGGACATCAACTTTAAAGACTGAAGAACAAGGTCCCTAGCTAGCAAGGGAACGAGGACACTGTCATCGGATATTTGAAAGATGGCTGGTTTCTCATCATGGTAGAGGGGCAGGTGGGTGGGACATCAGAACTTGCATATGCTCAAATCCAGCTCTGTCACTAGCTGTGTAATTAGGGCAAGTGACTTAATTCCCTAGTCTTTGCATCCATCGAAAGGGACTGGCTTATTTCACAGGGAGAATGAAATGAGATGAACTATGAAAGATCACATAGGCCAGCACTTAGAGTGGAGTAGGTGCTCATTAATCCAGAGCTGATTTAGAAAACTGCCCTGTAGATACCTCTACAGTGGTACCAGTGGGTGGGAGATACAAGGAAAAAGAGTCCAGCTACAAGTTTCCAACAGGCAGGGCTAACCTAAGATGGAAAGGGCTTGTTGGAGGAGAGAAGCTCCCTGTCACTAGAGATATGAACATAAAGACGGAAAATGTAAGGGGAATTCAGGCATCGTGTTACAGGTTGGACTAAGTCATCATTAGGTGCCATCCAACCTTGAGGAGCTTGGATTCTGTGACTGATACTGCAAAGTCCACCATAGTAGATATCTACGGGATGCCCTCAAACATCTCTTCTCCTTCTTCTGCTTTCTTAAAAGGTCCATAGCCTCCTCACCAAGTCAATCAGTTCATTTTATTCCACAGTCACAGAAACTGCTTCAGAAATAGGCATTTCAAGCCGAGAAGATACAAAGAGGTGTTTGCTTGAGGCTCTGGAGAAGTACTATACTCTTTCATCTAGGTGCTACCAAACACAGCAAAAGAGAACGTGAACAAGAGAGAGGGAGGAAGAGTGAGAGAGAGGGAAAGCGAGAATTAGTCTTAGCATAGGGTTGTCAGATAAAATACAAGACACCTTCTGAAATCGGAATTTCAGATAAACAAATAATTTTTTAGTTAAATATGTCCCAAATATTGCGGGAGACATATCTGTACTAAAGGAAAGTATTCATTGTTAATTTGAAACTTAACTAGACATCCTGTCATTTTTTTCCTGCTAATTCTGACAACCCAGTGTGTCCATGGAGGGCAAAAAAGAAACTGGATCCCTGTGATACTGTTGAGCCACTGGATCAAGCCCTGCCTGAAGCCCACACTTTTGAAATTTTCAGGTACATAAAACAATAAATTGTCTTTATTATTTAACTAGATTTGAGACTAGTTTCGGTCCTCAGGACCTTCCTTGTCCTAATGGGTTTATCAAAAGCTGAAAGCTTTGATCTTACTGGGATGCAGATCTTGTTAGGAGAAGGCTTGCTTGGCACTCTTAGTCTGGCTCCCCTACTCAGGAACTTCTGCAGGGCTCTATCCCTTCTTGTGATGTTAATTTTATGTGTCAACTTGACAGGGCCATGGGGTGCCCAGATATTTGGTTAAACGTTATTCTGTGTGTGTCTGTATGGGTGTTTTCAGATGAGATGAACATTTGAAGCAGTAGACTAAATAAAGCAGATTGTGCTCCCCAATGTGAGTGGATCTCATCCAATCCACTGAAGGCCTGATTAGAACAAAAGGGCAGGGTACATGAGAATTTGCTCTTTGTGCTTGCCATTAAGCTGGTGATTGGTCTTCTGCCTTCAGATTTGGACACAGACAGGAGCTCGCATCATCGGCTCTTCTAGTTCTTAGGCTTTTGGACTCACACTGAAATTATACCATAGGCTCTCCTGGGTCTCCAGCTTGCTGCCTGCAGATCATGAGACTGCTTAGCTTCTATAACCACATGAGCCAATTCTTTATTATATATATATATATAATATTGTGTGTGTGTGTGTGCACGTGTGAGCATATACACACAATTACATATATATGTCCTGTTCATTCATATCTAGAGAGAGATATGCACACACACATTTCCTATGAATTCTGTTCCTTTGGAGAACCCAGACTAGCTAATACACTCCTCTACTCAGACAAGCATCCCTACAGACACTCACTAGGCTAACTCGGTCTTTATTTTTAGAACGAGACCTTTACGAGAAGCACAGTTTTGTCTTCAGCTTCATTCCCCCCCCCCCCAACCCGAAGCGGTCTGAGCTGAGGCCAGCTCCCTCCGAGAAGTCATTACCACCCAGTGGGTGCTGCAGCCTCAGCCCTGAACACAGACTGGCCAGTGTCTGCTTGGCTCCGGGGCAGTGAGGAGCTGCCTTGGGACCGACAGAAAACTGACCAGCTTGTTTTCCTTTGGGACCAGAAGAAACCAGCTCCTTTTAATTCTCAATGGCCAGGCTTGGAAATCTAACTTGCCAGAACAGAGGAAGGGGGCAGAAAAGCAGTCCTTTGGGGGAGGTTCTGGCCAGGACATTCAAAAGGCAGGATTTTGCTGGAAACTATGCTCCCTAGCCAAGACCAGGTGGAAAGATCAATTTGGGCTTTATGAATTAGTCCCTTCATTTTTCTGGGTCTGGTTTTCCTCATCTGTAAAACATCTGGGGCCATCAGGCTGTGTCGTGGATATGTCAGGGCCCAGGGCCCAAGAAAATGATATGGGGTCCCAGTTACTTGGGCTTGGGCCTGAGGCAGGGGCGGGGTCAAGGGCAGGGGGAACAAGCCAGGCACGAAGCAGGCGCAAGTACAAGAATAGTGGCCACAACTTTGAAACCAGCATGACTTGTGATAACGGGCTGTGCAAAACTGTGCTGCTTTCAACAGCCCCGTGACCTACCTCCCTCCACGTCTGACCTACCTTGCCCAGTTCCTAATACTCAACTCCATTTACACCCCCACAGATCTTGTGTTTGGTATCGAGGCACATTGGTTGCAACATCTTACATCCTCCAAGGATGCTGATTTAGATCTGCTCTTTGGCCCTTCCTGCTTAGATCCTCCTCAGGTAAGATACCCAAACCCTGAAGTATTAGTTAGGTATTGCTGCTGTGAAAAATAGACCCAAACATATCATGGGTGAACAGAAAAGAAATTTATTTCAGTCTAGGGCACTTCTAGCCTGGGTCCAAGTGTGGTGAATGTGGGGACATCCTTGTCCATGAAGTCATTGGGGATGTTGGCTGATGGCGGCCATAGCATCTTTAAAATGGCTTCCAAAGTCATGCCATGGGATCACTGGCAGTTGACCAACAGTAAGAGTGTGGAAGGCTTTTAATGGTCAGGCCTGGAAAGAGCACCCCTCTGTCACTCTTCATTGATCAGAACCATGTTGCATGGCCTCATCCAACTCCAAGGATGGAGTCTAGCTGTGAGCCCAGGAAGAAGAGGCAGTGGGCTTGGTGAATGGCTAGCCGGTCTCTGCCAAGCCCGACTTCAGCCCACTGGCATCTCTGGCAGCCTGGGCTCATGGCCCACCTTGGCTCAGATGCTGGGCTCAGCCTAGGGTTCCTGAAACTCCTCTGACTGGAAATGGGAGTGGTTTGGGATTTGGGGAAGTGCCATTTCTATCTTGGATGGATTAAGTGGAAGGGTGTAGAGCAGTGAGCAGGGCAGGATGTGGCACCTTCACCACGGTCACAAATCACCATCATGGACCACACGCCCCCCAGGCCTATGGAATCTGTCTTTCCTTGCAAGGTGAGGACAGTCATGGGGACAAGCTGGCTGGTGAGCTCCCCAGAAGGAAGCGTTTTTCAGTCCCATGGCTCTGACATTTCCTGGGAAACCTGTGTGTGTGTGTGTGTGTATGTGTGTGTGTGTGTGTGTGTGTGTGTCCGCACAAAATAATCACAACAATGCAGAGGTATTATTATCCCCACGTGACAGGTGGGAAAACGGAGGCTCAGAGAAACTGGTTTTTCTAGGTGCAAATTGTAAGCCAGGGTTTGGAAACAGGTCGTCAGGCTCCGTATCGCAAACTTCTTTCCCTGTGTCATGCTCGTTCTCTCCTTCTGTCTCTCACGTGTCCTCTTGTCTAACCAAATGCCAGCTCCCCGTCAAGCCTGTGGCTCCTCTTCCAGAACCCCTGTTATCCTCCATGTGTGGCTCTTCGGAGTCGGCCTTGTGATAGGATCCTTTTGTATATTTTGTTCCCTTGCACGCCTCTTGAGGGCAGAGACAATGCCAAACTCACCTCTGAACCCTTCCCTCCTGAAAGCAACCCGCGTATACTTATCCTTCCAGTGAATGAATACTTTAGTCAGAGAATTCTTGAATTCAGTCAAGTGGAAAATCTAGCCAACCATTAAAGAAAGATCAAAGGACAATTTAGAGTAAACGACACACACTCGCTCCTGTATTTTCTCTTCACACCCTGTTCCCTTCTCTCATCTCCTGGTTTTCCCAGGCCACCTTCCATCAGGCGTGGCTCATTCACTGGCTAGAGAACTTCCTAACATTCTGTTTATTATTACTAGTAGTGGTAGTACTATTACTCTGAATAGCTGTAATTTATAGAGCCGATGAATGGTATCATCCATGAATAAAGGGCCTGTGTAGCCCCGAGTCCCGAGCACAGGTCCCACTTTCTATATGTTTTCTTTTTTTCCCCCCCTTTTTAAATATTTATTTATTTATTTATTTATTTATTTGAGAGAGACAGCAGGGGAAGGGGCAGGGGAAAGAGGGAGAAAAGCAGACTCCCTGCTGAGCGGGGAACCCCATGCAGGGCTCGATCCCAGGACCCTGAGATCATGACCTGAGCCAAAATCAAGAGTCCGACACTTAACCGACTGAGCCACCCAGGCGCCCCTCCCTGTATACATTCAATATGTATTTTGCGGATAAATGAATAAACTTGTTTACTGCCAGGTATTGGGTCACATTCTCGTAATTTATTACCTTTAATTTTCAAAGTCACCTAGCAAGGAAATCATTCTAAGCATTTTTTTTTTCAAAGATAAGGAAACTGAGGTGCAGGGGGACTAAATAACTTGCCCAAGGTCATGCAGGTAAAATGCCACCAAGCCCAGGCGCCAGCCAAGGACCATCAGACCTGAGAGTCCACCTTCGTGTTCTCTGATCCCACTGCCTCCCGGTGCCCTTTGAAGGCTGCATCCCACTCTCTTTCTTTCCTTTACCTACTCACTCAGGAAATATTTCTGGACTTCTCTTCATCGTGGGTGATGCCACATAGGGATGAACAGGGCAGCCAGAGTTTGTGCCCTAATGGAGCAGTGGTCAAGACAGATGGCAACCCAGTGAATGGCCAGCTGGATGCCCACTTTAAAGTATGGTAATGCCATGAGGGGAAAGAGGAGAATGCCATGAGGGACTTTCTTGGCTCACGTGGCCAGGAAAAGCCTCTTGGAAGCTTGGACTTGATGGACGAGGAATTGCAAGGAGCCAGCTTCTTGGTGAAGAGAGGGTGTTCCAGCCAGGGGGAACAGTAGTGGGGTAGGCCCCGAGGCAAGAAAGTGGTGGGCACAGAGAGAAACGGACAGAAGGCCAGCATGGCAAGCTGGGGTACGGAGGATCGTGGACGCAGACGAGCTGTAAGCAACGGATGATGGCAGGGCCACTGGGCGAGGAGCCCGGATTGTACTGAGTGCCATGGTGGACCCAAAAGAGTTTTAAGCAGGAGAACCACTGCACAGTGAGTAGACCAGCTGGAGACCCGAGTGGAAAGGGGAAGGAGGCCATTGCAATAGTCCAACAAAGACAACAAGGTGGTTTGAACTGGCGACCGGAAGTGAAGGTGCAGAGCGGGGCTCACTGATGGAACCTTTGCAGAGGGGTTGGATTTCCATGTGTGGCTGGGGCCTGGGTTCAATCCAGTCAACACGAACAGGAGGGGGCGTGGACTAGGCTTTCCAAGACTTCTGGTGAAGAGACTCAAGTTTATCCCAAAGCAGTTGAGTTTGCCTCTGGAGCGTGTGTGATAGAAGGATACTCAAGTGAGGGCCAGTTCTGCCTGTGAAGGTATGATCATTACAGAGTAAGAGCATGGCTCTAGGCTGGGTAAGGCCACCATGTCCCATCAGAGGGAAAGACAGGTCAGCCGTCTGCCCCTCAGGATGAGCCAGACCAGGACGAAATGTTGGAAGGAGGTAAAAAAAAAAAAAAAAAAAAAAAAAAAAAAAAAAAAAAA